TACTCGAACACAACTGGTAGAGTAAGAGCTTATGGCGAACTGTCATCAGAATTGATTACCTCAAGTGGTGTTCGTCAGGGCTGTTCACTCTCCCCATTCTTGTTCAACTTTGTGGTTGACGTACTTTTAGAGATAACACTCTCCTCATCTAAATTTCCAGGGGTTGAACTTGTACCGGGAGGTTCACTTGTTGACTTAGAATATGCTGATGACATAGTTTTATTTGGCGAAGACGCTGACAAAATGCAGAGTCTTCTGACCACTCTAAGCAACAATGCAAGCATGTTCGGGATGCGATTCTCTCCCTCGAAATGCAAAATGTTGCTTCAGGATTGGGTTACATCCACACCCGAACTAGTGATATGGAGTGAAGTAGTTGAGTGTGTCGACCGCTTCACTTATCTTGGAAGTCTCATCAGCCCTTGTGGTTTGGTGTGTGACAAAATCTCAGCACGGATACAGAAGGCTCGACTAGCTTTTGCCAACTTGCGTCATTTATGGAGTAGGCGAAATATCCGTCTATCAACCAAAGGACGTGTTTACTGCGCAGCAGTTCGTTCCGTCCTACTTTATGGCAGTGAAACATGGCCGGTAAGAGTAAAGGATATCCGTAGGTTACTAGTATTCGATCATAGGTGTCTTCGAAACATTGCTCGTATATCCTGGGACCATCGAGTAAGTAACACAGTTGTTAGGAAACGGGTACTAGGTAAGGATGGCAAATCAATTGATGAAGTAGTGAAACTTCATCAGTTGAGATGGCTGGAACACGTGTTACGTATGCCCAACGACCGACTGCCTCGACGTGCTATGTTCAGTGGTATAGGAGTAGGTTGGAAGAAAGCTAGGGGCGGCCAGACTAAAACATGGCACAAGTCCATGAAGTGACTGACAAGTGGACTGAGTCATGTTGGTAGGTGTAGACTACTTGGTTGGGGACCGCGAGATGATATCAACCGATGGTTAGAGACCCTGAATGACATGGTTCAAAATCGTTTGCAATGGCGCAGGTGCATACACTCTGTGTTCTTCCAAATTCTAATCTTCTGAATTCTTCGTGTCCCTTTTTTCCTCTTTTCAAATTTATTTCACTGTATTATACTCTTTAAATAACATCTTCAAACCCTAGTCTTTCCGATTACTGCTTATACTCTTATTACCTCTACCACTAACGGGATTTGAATCGACAACTGCATCTCTGTGCTAATGTGGTGTGGCAACTCGAACTGATGTACGTACGTACGAAGTTCTACGTTGTTACTGACTGCATCATAAACTGTACCATCTAAACAAGGACACTTTCCTGGCCTGAATATAGTTCATTCTGCTATACTTGGGGGAGCGACTTCAATATTGGCAACACTGCTTATCGTGATGTTCTCACATTCGCTTGGCTGGAGCATGGTGTCAGTAAATTGGAAGCTGGTTCACGTTACACCAATTTTAAATGGGATTAACGAAGAAAACCTTTAAGCTACCAACCGGTAGCTCATCTCTTAGTGCCCTCAAGCATATAGAGTCCCTGATATGCGACGGTATACGTTAATAGGCTGCTACCCATTCCTCACACTTTACAGTAATTATAGCACTAGGGTGCCACCGCACTTTGTACACTCCCAGTTCTGTACGGAGACTATGGATAGACTGGAAAAGCCAGTTAGCAATTTACCGCGACTATTGAGGGACGTTATATTTAGAAGGAACCAAAAATCGTCAATCTAGCAGCGTTTTCATGTTTAACTAATAAATGAAAATGTAATTGTCTCATTTACTAATTTTAGTGCTTGGAATATCTTCCTAGGTAAAATGTTGTAAATAATACAAGCTTCATAATAGTCTTCCGATCTACTCTACTGCAATGAAGACTCTTAGAAGAACACAGGACGTCTTCGAAATCGAGAGAAACATAGTTGTAGAACCAGAAGTCAAAAATTTAATGTTGGATCTTGAAGACTGGTTCAGTCTAATAGTAAAATCTGAGAATATACTGAGTTGGAAAAACCCTCGATCAACATTGCTTGTGATATTTGCAATCACTATTTTGTTTCTGTTGGTTCACGTATACGAACCACCGGTCCTGTTGGCTATTGGTTGTTCAGGATTGCTTTTAAGCTTAATAGACTACTTCGGACCCTTAGTTTTGTCTAGGTAAGATTCACTTATCAAATAATTAACTAAACCGCAGAGTGTTCAATAAACCTCCAAGTTACGAGGATCACTGGTGTTATTGGAATTTTTGTAAACGTCTTGTCCACATGCGTCATGTACTGATCAACTTCTTTGTTTTTGTGCATAAAGTTCGATATAGAAACGCGACTCTACATTTCCTAACTAGTTCATCTCTTTTGTGCATAGTTGGATTTGTTGGACTACATATTAGTGATTTGTGTCTGATTTATCTCTTAATACTCGTTTGCTTTATCGCACCAAATCTGCATCCTAAAGGAATACTAAAGGTAAGACTTTTCTCAATCCTTAACTTTTAGAAAGCATGCCTAAAAGCTTCTGTTTGCACTTGATGATTAGTTAAGTGGTTATTTACTAACCAGTCAGACACACCATAAGCTCGCCTAATTGTTAACAAAAAACCAGATCATCCTGATAAGTACGTTCACAAGACTCAACTAAAGTATCACAACATGCATTGGTCGTAACGAAATCTACTCACCATACATGATAACTGAATTGCCTTGTATCTCAAAGTGAAACCATATCGTAAATACTTATGTGATAAAAATCAATCTATGTAGACGCACATTTGAGTCTTGTGTTCTACTTATATGGTGAGCATGATTTTTGAATAAAGATAGTGAATTATTACCGATTAGTGAATATGCGATTAATACATACACGGCGTGAGTACACAACCATTATGAGCAGTGAGCGTTTTTTCCGCCAATGAAGAAATTATACAATACCTGGTGTCGGTATTGCTGAATTAGCCCCCAAATGCCCTGTTACGGCTGAGGGTTGGGATAGTCTGCTATCCCTGTCTAAATGATCACATATGGTCAGGCGTATACAGCCACTACCAGTGAATTCGTACTCACTACATTCTCGCGGCACCGAAAAGCGAATGGCCGGCGCTTAACCTGGGTTGGTGGACACGGAAAGTTCACTTAGCGAAGTTGGAAAACCTTGATGGCGAACCGGTGGTGCACACGGGCTCCAGTATCCTGAGGGGACAAATGCCGTATGAACCAATTTTTGACCACCGGCTACTATAGGACTCCATCTATTGGCATTGCTCCATTGCCTTGTGGATCAGATTTCTAGAACGAGGTCTCCGGGTGTGGTCCCGTAAGAAAACCACCTGCTTCGATTTGGGCACCCGTGCAGTATCGTGGTCCACACACAAATCAAGTGACTTGTGTAGTACATATGTATTCGGTGCGCCTTTGTACCAATATTTGTGTTGAAAAAATAAATAATGTCACAATTGCAGCTTTAAGTATGTGACTTTGAAAGGCGCTTGTATGAGGTCTAGCAATACTACCCAACCAACGAAACATGCAAAATCTGTTAGTTAAAGGTGCTTTCAACACTAAACCATTGCATTTATATAACACCTATGCTAATTAATAATACACGCCCACTTATGACTTGTCGAACAGTAATGTTTAGTTGTGCACACTTGTTCACCGCACATAACTATGATCTTCATCGAGTCGTAACTTTAAAAGTGACAAATCCTTTGTAAGATCCAATAGTGATCTCTGGGTATTAGTTTGGACATTCCTATTTATGGCACATTCTCAGTGGTCGGTTGTGAAGAGATTCTAGCAGCACACTTTTCCTAAAGTACTTCTTAACGATGCTGTCTTAAAATACACTAGAAACTCCACGACGAAATTACCCAGCTTGAAACACAACTGCAAAGTCCTCCTGAGCTACATATATTCACCATCGCAAAGTACCCCTAACCTTTTTAAAATAAGCTTATGATTTGTGGGAGTTCAAAATGGAGGCTTATCATAGTTTGTTGTTGAGAGAATATAAGCAACTAAGTAGTATGTAGTACACTCTTTTGAGGCCATATTGATTCTCATTAAAACTACAGTAACTATTCGACGTTTTCGGAGACTGACATCATTGTTCTTTTACTGTTCAAGGATGCCACTGGGACTAAAATCTTAAGATGCAACAGTCGCAAGCAACGTAACTTGCCTTACATTTCTATATTAGGAAGATTCAGCTAAATTTATCTTATAAATGATTTTTACCGAGTTTAAAAACCTTCGGATAATTGTGAAAGGTGGAACAACTTTTCTTTTTACAGGTCATTGTTTGGATCCTCTGGTATCCTTTAACTATTCTTCGATCTTTCGCATCAAAATTTCGGCCAGGAATACCGAGGTTTTTTACTCGGACCCTGCGTGTGTCAAACAAAAACACTGAGAAAGACCAGTGACACTATTTTCTTATTTAGTATTAAACACATAATGCTGCTTTTTCTTTAACTATTGTCCAACATATCAGTAAATCATTCAATCCAAGTTACTGGTTACATAAACTAATTTGTGCATTGTCTTAAAGTGCTTAATATGTATGTAGAGGATGTCGCGGATCGAAACCGATTACTTTGCAAGACATCCAGGACCTGAAGTGTCACTAGGTGGAGAAATATTCGTACAAGTAACTGAAAAATATGTGACGTTAACATTGGGTTGAACCTACACAGAATAACCAAAAATATGTAACTACCACTAAATCATACCACTTGAGTGCAATTGGTTAATATGAGTTTATTACTCGAAAAACATAACAAGTTGAACTTATTCCCAAGATCACTTACGAATTGCTAGAACAGTACATGTTTGACCAGAAAGGGTTTTATTAGCAGGAACAACTCAAGACTGATCAGACAGTACAGAAAGATAAAAAGTGGTTATTTTAAACGCAGTTTAAAAATAGACTATGCAGATTTTTACAGATGACATTTGTACACGAGTGAGAAAGTCGAAAGTAGTTGAGCTGAAGTGTGTACTATCTTCGGTTACTTAGCGTCTACCCTGGTGCCGACGAATTATTTGGTCAGAGCGATCTATATAAAAAGGTAATAGTAGAATAACATAAGAAGCTTGTTGAGATTGTTGAATCTTCGCAGATCACGTCACGCATTGATCTTAGACAAGCATGGGGTTTCTGAATGCGATAATATTTAAGGCAACCAACTCTAAATTAATGCAACATGCTCTTGTTTAAATTAGTTGTAGCATAAAAGATGATTCAACTTTTCCAAACAATAAACTACCTTTTTTAATTTGAGGCTTGTTTTTTATTAGTGCCAGGTATTCGTTCTCGACTGCATTTTCACCATCATTTTCGACCACTTTTGAAGACTTTTTGGCTGGCTGTCGTTTTTGAGCGATTGAGGTGAACCAGTGCCATATACCAATTAGAATTGCTATACTCAAGGCAATTACTAAGATAACCAAGAAAATCAATTCAGTGTCTACACCTTCTTCGATTTCAAACAACTGTAGGGAACGATTACAAAGTATAAATAACTTACGTTAACAGTTTGATTAAATAACTTATGAGCATAATAAATGTCATTATTGTCATGATAGTAGACAACAATAGACAGGTCAAAAGATCGACCAGCTAATTCAGGAGCGGGTTTGAATCTGTAATAAAGGGAAGTCTAAAAATTATTTGCTAAACGGAACCAAACAAACCTCTTGACCGGGCTCTAATGTCTCATGGAGGCGTTGCTTGGTAAAGTTCTGAATGTGATAGTCATAGTACATAGGATAGTGAAGTGCTCCTTCTATAAAATCTAGTTTAAATTGTTCACCGTTTGTCGGGTTGGTATTAGCCAAGGAAGCCACAAGGGATGAGATTTTTCCGACGGGCAAGTTTATTTCACGACGTCCAGAGTAAAGACCATATGGAGGTTTACTAAGGGCTACCAAGACACCAACAGCTGGGGATCCCTTGAATCTATCGTCTTCATTTGTTACAGAAGGTAAGAGCGTGGAGTCTTCTTCAGACAAAATAGTTGCGTCCTCGGCAAAAGAACTAAGTACTTGAAAGTAGAAAGTTAATAAATTAAGTCAGAGATCCAGACAACACGTATAAATTATAAATATTGCTTTGATTATGACCAGATAGATATATCATGTGGTAAGTATTCTGCACTAGTCTCAAAAGTAATAACTTTTTAAATGTTCCAAGGATGTTCATACCACAGGTTAACTGAACATAGTCGATGTACAGATTAGGTGCAAAATATTACGTTAAAGTGGCTGAAGATGACTTGATTTAGAAACCAACCTTTAAAGATGAGGTGGATCAGTTATCACTTGTTTTTGTTATTTGGAAGTGTACACAAATTCGCTGTCTGAACTCCATTCTGGAAATTAGGTTTGAAATATGATGGTAGAGCTATAATACTTAACAATCGCTTCTGAAAGAAATGGCCACTAAGAAAGCTGTTTACCCTAATATTGCTTTCATCAGCTTGATCTTTCTTTGAATACGTTAATATGGCATACGATAGTAACACAAACAATCTTCCCTAGTAATTAAACATTTATACTGATGAGGTCAACTTGACGTTCTTCAGGTTGGTTCGATGTTGTGATACATTCAATCTATCTGGAGACGCATCGAGCATGGTAACACTTGATAACACCAGCGAACAAACTAGGTTTTCTGTTAGTACTAAGAAGTTCCTAAAAGCCAGGCTAGGGATATTTTTGAATTGCTGCTTTTTTCTAGAAGCTCATTGGCAAGAACGATAACGAACATCTGTGTCACATTCGGGTCGGACAATTCTATAGTTTCCCAAGTGTTACACAATTTTGTGTAGACATGTATATTCAACTTTTTTGCGTTGTAGAAGGTGGACTATTTAAAAAGGATAGTGGTATTTCAATCAATGAATAAACTTGTTGGTCTTCAACGAATTCTGAACAAACACCATAACATATCGAAGATAAGGTCTCTGTAATCAGTTCTGAAAAGTTGACAAGTTTTTTTACTCACATTTGACTAATCTCACTACAAAAGACTAGACTGCATTGAAAGAAATCATAGTGAGTTTAGTCTTTATAAATCTTAGTAAAGCCTCGGACAAGTTCTGTTTTGCGAGTATTAGAGTGAAGCTGGAAAGCCCCAGCATCGGTTGTACAGTTAGATATGAGATTAGTTACTGTCTCAAAGATAAGTAAATTGCGAGTGAAAGGTGACATCAGTCAGTAACTGTTATAATCTCTTTCTTCTTACGGTTATGACCCAGCTATTCCTATTGCTTAGTATTCTTGGACACCGATTCACTCGACAAGACCCCAAATCAGAACACGGTTGAACAGGAAAGAGATTATATTCCAAATAACAAAGTTAGATGGAGGCAAGATGCAAGCCAGAAGCACAATAGGGAAAACGTCAGTATATTTATAGTTTTCACATAAGAAGATTCCAGAGTATTCTCCAACTATCGACTAGTGCTGATTGGATAAGAATTAGCCAATCAGCGTGCACCAAGGCAATCATGCATTGAGCATGCTTAAATCTAGTCTATGTCCCGCTAACAGTAACAATGTAGAACTTCGTACGTACGTACATCAGTTCGAGTTGCTACACCACATTAGCACAGAGATGCAGTTGTCGATTCAAATCACATAGTGGTAGAGGTGGTAAGAGTATAAGCAGTAATCGGAAAGACTAGGGTTTGAAGATGTTATTTAAAGAGTATAATACAGTGAAATAAATTTGAAAAGAGGAAAAAAGGGACACGAAGAATTCAGAAGATTAGAATTTGGAAGAACACAGAGTGTATGCACCTGCGCCATTGCAAACGATTTTGAACCATGTCATTCAGGGTCTCTAACCATCGGTTGATATCATCTCGCGGTCCCCAACCAAGTAGTCTACACCTACCAACATGACTCAGTCCACTTGTCAGTCACTTCATGGACTTGTGCCATGTTTTAGTCTGGCCGCCCCTAGCTTTCTTCCAACCTACTCCTATACCACTGAACATAGCACGTCGAGGCAGTCGGTCGTTGGGCATACGTAACACGTGTTCCAGCCATCTCAACTGATGAAGTTTCACTACTTCATCAATTGATTTGCCATCCTTACCTAGTACCCGTTTCCTAACAACTATGTTACTTACTCGATGGTCCTAGGATGTACTAGCAATGTTTTAAAGACATCTATGATTAAATAATTGTAACCTGCGAATATCCTCTACTCTTACCGGCCATGTTTCGCTGCCATAAAGTAGTAATAGTGGTAGTAGTAAGAAGGGTGATATGCCTTCGTGGAAGTTTGTGAAGCACTGCAAAAGACAATTCTAGAAACCTTTTCTTCTTTACTATACGTAAATGACCTAGCCAAAATAGGGAAGCCATCGGTTTTATTTCTTACACACGGCATAAACATTTCAAAACGCATAAAAATTGAAGATGATAAGTTCGGATCACGAGGAGGTTTGAATGAACCAGTTAGGTAAGTCAGTGGAAGCGGACTTGGACGGAAGTGTAGCAACGAATGTCGACCAACGCGACGTTTCACGTCACTACCTAATAGATGGAATACCTTTAAACAAGGCTACGAATTATAGTAACTAAATTACCGTAGGCAATGACACCATAACTATGAGTATTTGTAAAGCGGCTGCAGATAAAGGGTCCCGAATCTTGTGAGCCATACATGAAGCGTTTTGAAATTAGGAAGGGATGTTTGGAACATTAATTCGGATACAATAGAGGTTGCAATATAGAAAATAGGACTTAAGGGATAAGCACCTTTCGAATAAGAAGCCGACATATTAGAACGGTTTTAATGGGGAGAGACCACGATAGTTCCCGAGCTCCCAATTTTGGGGAAATGGCACAAAATTTACCCTTAACCTTGGTCAAGGTCATTTGACTTCGGGAGCTTCCCCAAAATTGGAAGCTCGGGTTGTCTTTTAGACCTACCATATGAGCACAGACTGAGACGTTTCAACCCACATTGATATCTTATCATGTTAAGAAGTGGCTTATCGTTTAAGTAAGCAAATAGTTTACTGGTTGACGACCTATGCACTTACATCGAACCTCTAACTGTTATTTATGACTTATCATTTAGGAAGACAATTTCGGAAATTCTAAAAACTAAGGTCAGATGATTAACATCTGGAGTTTTTTTCCTCAGACTGAACCGTAAATTACTGAGATTCTATGAGTATGCAATATCAGAGACAATTTTGATGCGTTCATAACGAGAACTAACATCGATTACTTGGCCACCTATCCTTATCCTAGAAATGTGGAACGCCAAGTTCTAAAAACAGTTAAAGTGGTTATCAAGAGCAATAACTGAGCCTGGATTTAACAGTAAATGCGGAAGTTAGTAAATAGTTTAAAAACGTCTTAGTAGTGATATATAGATAACTTACTATAATTGCTACATAGAAGTAAGATCCATGAATAATATGCAAAGTTACAAGACAACATGATTAAACTAATGCATCGAAGGACGTCATCAATACGTGTCGCAAATTTAATAATTGGTCGATTAAAACAAAATAACATTTTCTTGTAAACGCGTTTTTATTTATTCAAATTCATAATAAAGTGTTTTTACTCAAAGGTTGAAATAAATTTGCAAACACCATATAGCGCTAAAATTAACTTCTTGTTAGTGAGGATGTCGTACGCCTATCTATTTAAGTATATAATTATAGGAGATACAGGTAAGCACAAATTACTCATCCCAATTATTTGAAATTCATTTTATGTGGTGGGCTTTAATCACACTAATTCCTGCATTAAAACCAGTGGTACAGTTGTGCGTACTGAGTTTCTACGTTGATTGAATTATATAGTTGACATATTCATGGACCTAATTTGTTCTTACTGCATAACATTAAACCCAGAAGATCTGCAAGTTTTCCTTACATGCTGATTTGTTTTTTCTACCGCGATTAGTATTTGCAAACACATGTTTATTTAGAAAAGGTGACGAATGTGACAAAAAGTAACTGAGTAATAGCCAAAATATGGTTTTGAATTCCTTAACCGCATACTCAACTTCTTCTCAAACGTCTGTTGGTCAGGTCTAAGTGTCAGATATCTGCTTAGATTCTACGCTGTAAGAAACTGTGTAAAATCTCATTACCAATGTAGAATAATAAATAGTTACTTTCAATTGAAATTTATCGATGTATCACTAACATCTTGATAAGGCTTAAAGGATCTTATGAGTCAGTGATTTGTGGTTTTCTTAGGTCCAGATGAAAATCTGGTTTTCCAAATGAAGAATAGGTTTTTGTTAAATGCGTTTTTCTCATGCAGTGCAATGTTACGTCTGGAGTCATTCTTGCGTTACTACCGGTCTTAAGCTCAGATGAAAGAAGAGAGTCGAGCATGGAGTTATCAACCCCGTTTCTTAGAGAAAAAATGTTAACTGGGTAAATGATTTGAACAATGCTCTCCTGTATTGAAACAGTCAAGAAAACGTTATTAACTTCGCTTACAGGAAATGTCTTTAAAAAAAACTGGACTTTATATTATTGTACGCGTTCGTAGATAGCGGATTTAGTTCCATACGGAACTAAGAGTACAAAATCGTCGTAAGTTTCGAACTCCAACCACTTAGTCATAAGAAAGCTTAGGGCCTGGTAGAAATGTTTGAGATGCTAATCCTTTTCCACAACAGGAGGGCAAATTCTGAAATTAGACCACCGAAACATTTTTAATGCTGGCGATAAGGTGTGAAAAATTTGCGGATACGTCAAAAACTAATCACAAAAGGTCACATAATCATCCTCGTGTAACTCCCCTGGCCTTTACTATTATGCCTTTATTTTGCAAGACTTACACTGTTAATTCAGTTTTTGTTCCAAGTGTGGACAATCAACTACAATTCCTAACTTAATTTGTGCGTTGCTTCAAGTCATCTGGCATCACAACAACACAATAAGAGAAAATTTACAAAATAAATACCAAAGAAGTTGACACAATCATAGTGTTAATGAAGGTAAACATTGAGGAATGTACTCTCAAAATAATGAATGAAATAAAAAACGATGTCAATACTCAAGACTTCGTTAAAGATTAAGGATGAATGCATTTGCGCCGCCGCAATCGATTTTGATCCATGTTACCTAAAATCTTCAACCGTTAGTTCAGTCATTCAGCTACAACGTAGGACCAGGCACATATATGCATCGGTCCAAGTTGCCATACCTCATTAACACAACAAGATGGACACCGGATTCATAAAGTAGTTAATTCAGAGGTGGTAATATGTAAAGGAAAGTTTGTAATAAGGATATAATACAGGAAGAAAGAATTAGTTCGTAGAATGAAAGATATGAAGTTAGGGGCTGCCAAACCAAAACGTGGCATCAGTGCTTAAAGTTACGAACTTCTAGTCTGAGCCATGTCGGTAGATGCAGACTACTTCTACACCACAACCAAGTAGTCTGCATCTACCGACATGGCTCAGACTAGAAGTTCGTAACTTCAAGCACTGATGCCACGTTTCGGTTTGGCCGCCCCTAACTTTCTTCCAACCATCCCGAACGCCGGTTAGCATTGCACGTCGTGGTAATCGGTGTTCAGTCATACGCAACACGTGGCTCAACCATCTCAGTAGATGAAGATTCATAACTTCATCAACCGACTTACCATCATTCCCTAATACCCTGTATCTAACCTCACTATTACTTAACCGGTCTTGGTTGATTATGAACACAGTGGTCTTGAGTGCTGTTAGAGGTATGAGGGCGGTTATCACTTCCCGGTTTCCCACACCGTGGAAGGGTTCTTCTGGAGGTACCTGAAAAGGAAATCGGTTTAGAGGTGGTCTTAGTGACCTGGGAGCGTGACCGCAGTGCCCAAGGGACAACTGCTTGAGGTCGGTCACACACGACCTTTTTATGGGTAACTTTTGTGTTAGCTCCGTACTTGTTGAGACCTTACCACCGGAAACGGATATCCGTGGAATAAGGCGAGGTGTGCATTTTTAGGGTCGACCTTTTCTAACCCCACCCGGTGTTCCCAGCAGATGTCAGCAATATTTCTAAGGCATCTGTGGTCAAATACTTGTAGCTTACAAGTGTCTTCTACTCTTAATGGCCATGTTTTGCTGCCGTAAATTGAAACAGAACGAACTGCCGCGCAGTATACTAATCCTTTTATTGATAGACGGATATCTCGTGTTCGCCATAGGTGACGTAAGTTGGCAAAAGCCAAGCGAGCTTTTCGAATCCGTGTTGAGATTTCGTCCGATACCAACCCATTAGGGCTGATCAGACTTCCAATATAAATGAAGTTGTCAACGCGTTCGACTACTTCACTCCCTATCCTTAGTTCAGGTGTTGATGCAGACCAGTCCTGAAGCAGCAGCTTGCATTTAGAGGGAGAGAAGCGCATTCCAAACATTCTGGCATTGTTGCTTAGTGCTACCAAAAGACTCTGCATTTTGTCAGCGTCTTCACCAAGCAGGACTATATCATCTGCATGTTCTAAGTCGATAAGTGAACCTCCTGGAAGGAGATCAATACCCGAGAATTCAGTAGACGAGAATGTTATTTCCATCAGTAGGTCTATGATGAAGTTAGACAAAAATGGAGAAAGTGGACAGCCTTGACGGACACCACTTGAGGTTGCAAAAGCAGATAACAGTTCGCCATAAGCTCTGACTCGACTGGTAGTATTCGAGTAAAGAGCCTTCACAAGGTTTATGTACTTCTGATGTACACCTTTCAATGACAGACACTGCCACAGAATCTCGCGGTCTACAGAGTCAAATGCTGCTTTTAAGCCGAGAAAGACCACCATTGTCGGACGCCGATAAGTATGCCTATGTTCCAGAACCTGACGAATGATGAATATGTGGTCGATGCAGCCACGACCAGGTCTGAAGCCGGCTTGGTTCTCTCGTGTTTGCAGTTCACGAGTCTTAGGCGTCTTATAATTATCGAGGCTAGTATTTTAGATACTATATTAGTTAAACTAATCCCTCTATGGTTGTCACAGGTTGATTTTAACATGTCTTCAGATAAATGGTTTTTGCGCCCATTGTACCGCGTTTCCACTTCGAACACAGCTGATGACAATTATTCCCTCACTATTATCATATACACTACTTAGGACATTATGCACGGAATATAGTTTTTCAAGAAGAAATAATAATAATGGGAGAAAGGGTAAATAAAAGTAGTGATCTTGGGAGAAAAATATTCTTCTGTTGAAAGCGTGTAGAATGTTGGCTACAGCACAACCAAAGAATTTTTAGTTGAAATCTAGGAGTTGGACGTAATCCCATCTGACTGGTCACAATCAATGATTGTCCCAACACATAAGAAGGGGTCAAAATCATCCCATGATAATCGTAGAGGGATTAGTTTGAGTGATGTAGCGTCTAAAATACTAGCCTAAATAATTATCGGACATCTAAGACTCGTGAACTGAAAACACGAGGAAATCAGACATGGCCTTCGCTGCATCGACCACATATTCGTCATTCGTCAGATTTTAGAACAGGTATGTTTATCAGTCATTGAAGTCACTAACTTCTAGTTTGAGCCATGTCGGGAGATGCAGACCACTTGGTCGGGGTCCGCGTGACTATCGTAACCAATGGTTAGAGACTGTAGGTGGCATGGCTCAGATTCGACCACAATGGCGTAGGTTTAAACACTCTTTGTCCCCCCTTAAACTATGAGATTAAAATTGCTTCATACTTTTTTTTACGAAATAACTCTTCTTGTACTATAGCCTTATACACAATCTTTTATATATTACTGTCTTTGAAATAACTGCACCTATGAATTTGGTATTTATCTTGTTCTAATGAGATGTGGAAACTTGGACCGAAGCATCTATGTACCTGGTCTTACGTTGTAGCTGACTGACTGGGGCTATTTAAAATTTTTTATTTAAGTTTGCCGAAAGTATTTAATTTATTTTAAGATATAAACACTGCTTCAAATAAACACCGAAATGTGCCACACAATAAGAAAATGTGACTGATAAGATAGAAGAATAAATGAATAAAAGAAAGTGATGGGAGGAACTATACAGTTAAGCAAAATGCAACCAGAAAAAATTCCTTAAATAAGTCCATCTCACTTTTACGATTAATGTGAAAGAAAATTACAACATTACTCTCATAAGTCCCTGCTATGAGCCGTTTCTTATAGCTCTTCAAGCCACTGAGTTGCGTCATCTCTCGGACCCCAAACAGGGATTCGCAATGGGCCGATAGATACCAGTTCTACACAACTACTTTTCATTCCACGGGATAATGTCTTTAACTGACCATCACCGGTTTTTTCAACCACTCCAGCATCGGCAAATAATACATGATATGGAAATTTCTGTACTGATCAACCCACCCAAACCAGTGTTTCAAGATGACGACACCCATTAAGTTGTTATCATTGCACCCAGGCTCATTGCCGAACAGTGGTATAACTAATACATTGCTGCTACCGAATGCCCTCAGCTCGGAACAGAGATCAGGTCCCACCAGTAGAGAACAGCACTACCTCCGTGTTGTAAATTCAACCTTCTAAAATCACTGACATTACGACAACATCGAAGTTGACCTAGATTTACGTAAACAACTCTACCTTTCGCGACATGCAAATTAATCTCATTTTACACATCACCTCCAACTCGTATACATCTACCATAATAGACGGACTTTTCGACTATTTTTAGCGGTTCACCACATGGGAGCTAGTGCAGATACATGGTCCTTCAAGTCTTCGAGAAATAGTTTGCACTTCAATTATACAAAGCACATATCAATCAGCAAATAATTGGGGGTCCTTTGGATAGTTTGCGTATCATCTGACGGTAAGATAATGTCATCCATCTACTCAAAGTCAAAAAGTTTACCTCCATTGTTACTACCTTGAATTTACCTCTGAAGTTTTGTTTTTATGTCTTTTTGTTGTTTGTGTAGCAAATATTCAGATTTTCTTTTAGATTGGGGTAATTTTATAGTAAATTACACCTATGACTGTTCTTGTTAAACATTTCTTTAGGCGTTGGGAAGTCATGTTTACTATTGCAGTTTACTGACAAGCGATTTCAACCAGTTCATGATTTAACTATCGGTGTTGAATTCGGGGCTCGAATGATCAATATAGATGACAAACAAATCAAGTTACAAATATGGGACACTGTTAGTGATATCTTTTTAAGTTTAGTTCTCTTTTCAGGCTGGACAAGAATCGTTTCGATCAATTACTCGATCTTATTACCGTGGTGCAGCAGGTGCATTACTAGTATACGATATCACCAGGTAATTTGTTTAATTTTCATAATTTGTTTTCTACAGAAGAGAAACATTTACTCATTTAACTACCTGGTTGGAGGATGCTAGACAACATTCAAGCTCTAACATGGTTATTATGCTGATAGGAAATAAAAGTGACTTGGAAAGTCGACGCGATGTTCAAAAAGAGGAAGGTGAAGCATTTGCCAGAGAACATGGCTTAATTTTTATGGAAACATCAGCTAAAACTGCCGCTAATGTTGAAGACGCCTTTATTGATACAGCGAAGTGTATTCATGGAAAAATCCAGGAGGGCGTTCTTGATGTCAATAACGAGGTAAGTTTATTCTTGCAATCAAATTATTAATACTTCTATGTTTACCACTGTTGACAATTTAAATAGAGTTTTTATAACAGATTTCAGGGAATCTAGTGTTGTTAATATTATTTTAAAGTTTAACTGAATATCTGGAAGTAATGTCAATGCCAATTTTTCCTGTCTTTAAATAATTAAATACAGTTCCTTCGAGATGGTGGAGAAGATTTGTAGCTCAGGTGGATGATTTTGGTGGTGTTTTGTTCTCTGAGCTGGATGGTTTGGTCATGGAGCTTTCATCGTTCTTCTGAACGACATCATCAACACAAACTTCAGATAGAAGTGAAGTGTTCGAATTTCTCCATATGCGTTTCACAGCTTGTTCTGTGCACCTTGATGTTGATTGGTTCTTGTTGACCTTAAATTTATCATTGTTTACTTCTTTGTTTTGGTTGTGTCTCCCATTGGTTTGATTTTTGTTCCTATATTTATGCATGATTTTCCTGATTGGTTGATAAATTGGATTGATTTCAATACGTTTGTTGATTGCTGATTGACCTGAGTGCCAAGCTTCTAAAAATTCTCTGGTGTTTTTGGAGTTTCCTCTGTCTAAGATTTCCACATTTTTCCAATTGAATGAGTGTCCGCAGTTGTCCACGTGTATTGATATAAGTGAAGAGATATCATGTCGTTTGACTGCCAATTGGTGTTCATGTAGGCGTAGGTGGAGGGGGCGTCCGCTTTGTCCGATGTAGTGTTTGTCGCAGTTGGTACAATTTATTTTGTAGATGATGTTTGATTTGTTTTCCTTTGTTATTTCATCTTTTGGTTTACATAGGATTGATTGTAATGATTTTGTTGGTTTGTGTGCCACACCTATCCCGAAGGTTTTCAGCAGTCTCGTTGTGGTTGTGCACAGAACAAGCTGTGAAACACATATGGAGAAATTCGAACACTTCACTTCTATCTGAAGTTTGTGCTGATGATGTCGTTCAGAAGAACGATGAAAGCTCCACGACCAAACCATCCAGCTCAGAGAACAAAACACCACCAAAAACAGTTCCTTCGGTTATTAAGGAATGATATTAATACGGGTCGAATCTAAGCAGGACATATTACTTTGTCAATTACGATGTAAATTCTGTGTATCAAAGAATACTACTAAATATAAATCAATGCTTCTATACTTAGAACTGATTTGGGATTTTAAATAATTTTCAGTTGTATTTTTGTGGCCCATTAAAACTTAATGAATGTACACTAATTACTAGAAATTAGGTAAATAATTCGTGCGTTTCGTCCTGTACTGAAAAAGTTCTGAATTTTGTCATATCGGTGAAATATTCTTAGAGTGAGATTATTCTTTTGTACTAAGGATATCTTGTATCATCTCCCTAAAAATCATTGCCTGAGTTTTAAAATCTCTAAAAAACAAAGATTAAGGCTGAGTGAAAATTTAAGTTACAACTAGATTACGGTCTTCTAGATTACTAGTTTAATCCTATGTGTGTAATGTACAAAACCTCTCAACTCAGGTAGTTTATTTTACTAGTCCATGTTTTCTCGAGTCATATCTTCTATGCTTAAGCTTTTCTACTACCATTAATACTGTTAATACTTATACTATTTCGGCACCTCGCTGTGCTGATGTTGTGTGGTAATTGACGTGTCAGAATGAAGATAGGAAAAAAAGTCACTCAGAACTGATTTGCGGACTATTGTTATTTATGTTCTTATTGTATAATTACTAAGTAACTGGAATACTATGTTTATATATTCCGTTTAATTTACTAACTATTATTGCACTGTATATTATTCCTATTTTACTGCCAAAGGACTATTCACAGCTTGCCCTATTCAAAGCCACTTTTGATTTGTTTATGTAAAACTGTGATTTTTCATTTTATCATGTGATGTGGTCCACTGTGTATTAAACCCACATATGTTTGGATTGTAACAGCACTAGAAGTTGTCTGCTAACTACTTGGGTTCAAAGCAAAATATGGAGTATAGTACACGAATATTGGGCCAATATGAGCTCAATTTGCGTAGTCTTAAGGTTAACTGCGCGAGTCAAAAGAGTAGCTACTTGTGAAACCTGGCCTCTCCAAGTTGAGGACGTTAGACGACTTTCTGTGTTTGATCATCGTTGTCTCCGAAGGATTGCTGACATCCAGTGGCAACACCATGTTAGTAATGCAGGGGTTCGGCAGTGTGTGTTCGGGCTCAGTGACGATAATCCGATTGGCGTCACCATCCTGAAGCATCGACTTCGGTGGCTTGGACATATTCTACGAATGTCGTCTCAGAGAATTCCTCGTCGTGCATTATTTGCCAACTCTAGGACTGGTTGGAAGAAGCGGAGAGATGGTCAGTGTATGACATGGTGTCGTGGTATGAAAGAAAGCTGTATCGGACTGGCTTCTGTTGATCCTTCACGACTCCCTGGTTGGGGTCCTTGAGATGATGCAACATAGTGTCTAGAGACGTTATCAGATATGGCTCAGAATAGAAGCCAGTGGTGATCCTGCTGTAATCTTCTTTTACTACCACACTACCTTACACCAATCTCTTCGTTATTGTTCTCTTTTCTTTACGCTCCTTACCTTTCTTTTCTTTTCTCTTCGAATTCTCATTGTTTTGTGTGGCGCATATATATTGGCGCTCTCTTGTACCAGTATTTATGTGTCCAAATAAATAAATAATCAATTGTCTAAGACTTGACTGTTCGTTTACACACTAATCACTCTCTGTTCTCATTCTCTTCTCTTCGATCTTCTTAACCTTCTGCCGCTTAGCGTTTCACTCTCAATAGGTGATACATACTACTTATATCTGTCAACATCAGTAGCACACATCGCCGGGACTACTTCCAACTTTCCAAAAAAACTTACTTAAAAACTGTCTGCTAGAATGGATCATACCTAAATGCTTCCAAAGTGATCTACTAAGCTATGACCTGTTTCCTCAATGTAAAGGCTAATTACAAAAAATCAGAAATAATGTAGGACCTAGCACAAATGATTGCTGGTAAAAGTTGACACGCCTCAGATCGGTACAGTAAGCATGAATGAAATGAACTAAAACGGGAGAGACAAAGAACTAAGTAAAATGGCCGAAAGTAACGAAAGTCCTGGAATTAAAAGTATCGAATGATAGTAAGTTTCTAATTCACAGAAAGTGAGTGAATAAAAACATTCCGTCTCTCGAATAAATTTTTAGTTATCTCATCTAATATCACTAACCGTAAATGACTGTTATCTCGTGAAATTTAACCAGGAGATTCATACCTTCCTATCGGGTCCATCACTCTTAATCTTTTCCTGTTATCATAAGTTTGTTAACCATTTTATATTGTCACTTTAACCGCCTTGAAAGAGTATTATCTAATATTTAGATAATACGTTGTAGCTGACTGACTGACTGATTATCTAATATTTGAAACTAAAGTACCCAAACCGCAGCTTAACATAGAATTGGTTATCATAAAATCCTTCGCTCCGTCCTACTTTATGGCAGTGAAACATGGCCGGTAAGAGTAGAGGATATTCGTAGGTTACTAGTATTTGATCATAGGTGTCTTCGAAACATTGCTCGTATATCATGGGACCATCGAGTAAGTAACACAGTTGTTAGGAAACGGGTACTAGGTAAGGATGGCAAATCAATTGATGAAGTAGTGAAACTTCATCAGTTGAGATGGCTGGAACACGTGTTACGTATGCCCAACGACCGACTGCCTCGACGTGCTATGTTCAGTGGTATAGGAGTAGGTTGGAAGAAAGCTAGGGGCGGCCAAACCAAAACATGGCACAAATCCATGAAGTCACTGACAAGTGAACTGAGTCATGTTGGTAGGTGTAGACTACCTGGTTGGGGACCGCGAGATGATAGCAACCGATGGTTGGAGACCCTGAATGACATGGCTCAAAATCGTTTGCAATGGCGCAGGTGCATCCACTCTCTGTGTTCTCCCAAATTCTAATCTTCTGAATTCTTCATGTCCCTTTTTTCCTCCTTCCAAATTTATTTCAGTGTATTATACTCTTTAAATAACATCTCCAAACCCTAATCTTCCCGATTACTGCTTATACTCTTATTACCTCTACCACTACGGGATTGAATCGACAACTGCATCTCTGTGCTAATGTGGTGTGGCAACTCGAACTGATGTACGTACGTACGAAGTTCTACGTTGTTACTGACTGACTGACTGACTCAAGAGACCAACCTAAACGACTGAATACTACGAAATGAAAGGTGATGTACTCTGTTTTGAATCATAAATTGCATAACGGTACTAATAATACTTGGCTCCCTTAGCCTAAGTAGATGACGCGAGATTCTATCCTGGGATCTGTTGGTTGAAATCAGAGTTCTTCAACCACCAGGTCACCACGCAGTTATAGAACATGAATTGATATGCGATGATAATTACCTTAGTTACTAATTACATGTATCTTATTTGATCTACATTAGAGACTAGCTATGTGGGATAGTGAGTAGTGAAAAATATTCGGCAACTTAATTCAAGTTGGCAATTCACTAACTCCTAGTTGGTTATTCCATATCGGCTGTTAAAACATCTAACAAATAATTTAAGTGTTACAATGTTAAACCCTATCTCAATTCACGTTCTGTTTAGGTCTTCACTCATTTTGCATGAATATCCACAACCTAGTGGTATATATGGGTAAAGCTTAATCTTTGACAGCATTTTCAATTCCCAACAGTGTTCTTCCTTCTACTTGTTTTGTTTTTTACATTATTTTTCAAGGCAAATGGGATTAAACTTGGACCTCATCATAACCCGGTAGGTGGAGCATATAATAATAATAACATGACAAATCGTACTTCTGGTGCCGGTTGCTGCTAATTATCGATAAATACTATGTGTTGATGGATCCTTTATGGGTTTTTTGTTTTGATTGTTAAGAGAAGAAACCTCGGTAAGACAATTTGAAAATTAATAATAATAACAGAAATAAATATCGTGTTCGTTTGTTTGCACTTATTGTTTCCACCCCCCGTTACATTTTGAGTAATTCCTATAATCCATGTGATAATTGTGTGCAGCTTGGCGATTGATTCATTCTGCTTACGTACATTCTATTTCTTTTTTCTGTCATCATGTTATCTTGTCCCCCAGTATCTCTGTACTCCACTCCCTTTTCTTTCGTCTTCAATGTCTATTTCCTTAGTCTTTCTTTCATATCTATCATGTTCAACAATAACTACACAAATATCATTGTAACTCATCAACTTCAATCATTGCTCATTATGCAAAATCAGTGACCAATACATTTTCGTTTGTTTTGTTTACATTCAATAAAAATTATCTGTCTATTGGACAATATTTCTCATAATATAAATTAATAGAGAATTTGTTTGTTATACTCGATTATTAATCGGCACATACCGTTTATTCTTGTTTTGTTCTCAATCTTTTTTCATGATACATTTGATATGTACACTATCTCTCTCCCTCCTTTAAATATACAAATATCTTATTAGGAAATTCAGTAGGTGGAAATTAATTGCTGTTTTGGTGATCAACTTTTTAATCTATGACACACTAATCACTACATTCATAAACTTGGTTTTAAAGGAGAACAAGTAAATAAGTGTGATACCTGTGTGTTCATGTGTTCTGTATTCGTTACATTCTTAATTGAAAGAAAAAGCTAATTAGTAATTTAATTACAAATATCTTTGTCCACTTGATGTTTTGTGTATGTTTACCCTGGAATATTTCACTTTTTCACTGTCCAAATACAGTTTCAGAAGAAAAACTACACATACACACTTATGAACATGTGAAACAAAGTATTCTATATATTTCTAACATGTGTTAATTGTGGTGAACCATTGCTTTTTTGTCTCTCTTCTAATAATTACTTTTGTTGTTGTTGTTGTGTATGCATTTGACAGCGTATATTTCATCTCATTTTGAAATTTATGTTATTTGGTTATTTGTTCATTTGTTATTGTTTTAACCGTTGGGGCATATAAATATTGTAAAATTGGTCTACTGTGTACACCGATGGTGTTTAACTGTTGAAGAACTACTCATCTTTCAACTAGTAGGTCATAGATTAAAATTCAACTGTATTCATTCCAATTTATGTAGCCGGGTTGTAATTTTATACCTCAGATAAATTATTAAACTTGAAAGTTGGCTAATTACATAAACATGAACTTAGTAAACAGGTTGCATCAAATTAAATTATTAAGTGCGTCCTGAATGATATTATTGAGTGACCTTACCATCGAAGTATATCTTAATCGTGCTGTTGTTAAAATAACATATGATGAGAATGATGCAGTACTTTTATATATGTCAAATTAATGCGCTGAACTTTAAACTGCTGTGTAGTATAATTTGCTCACAAATTATAGATATGATTTACAATCAGAAATATGGAGTTGAATGTGTTTACTTAGTTGTCCACTTGCATTTTATCAATTCTACTGTCTTAGTGATAATTTTTATAGTTTCCAGTGTTTAATTGAAGAAGTCTCAATAGAGCATAACATGTTTTATAAATAAATGACTAGGGTGTTTAGATGTGAATCCACCTTATTTGTGTCCAACTATAGACATATCAATGGATTATAATTAGAAGTCTCGTTATCCGTTGTATCTAGCTTCAACAGAAATTGTGGTTACAACACTCATTTACTAGATTAGCGGATTAAATTCAACAACCTACTTTGGTTTAGGCACCAGGTTAGTATTATTAAGTAAGAAAAGTCAACATTTTAAGGTGTTAGTTGGTGAGGTAGAAATTCTTATATTTCAGATTTTGACTTTTCCTGCTATATAGTCTAGATAAATTATCCCAATTTCGAACCAATTAGCACAGATTCAATCATACTTCCACTAAAGTTTTAGGTTGGATAAAATTGTGTATCGAAAATAGTATTTTTGACAAAGACGAATTATTGGCAATTGAAGACCAGATTTCGTCTTCCGGTAACCCTGCGCCTCATCGGGACATCATGTACTACGTACCGCAATCGCATTTACGGTTGATTCGTATGTTAACAGTGCAAATCCGTTCTTACTGCTGTACTAACCCATTCATTCACATGTAAAGTGTGGCATAGTTTTTCCTATGATCGAAAATTATCCTATTAACTACATAGAAAATCGCAAACTCTAGCCATATTTCATCGCGTCTCCGTATTATGATGACTAGTGTAATGTTAACCTACAGATAACAGCATGTATTAATTTCTTAAGTTATTTTTACAACTACAAGTAAACTAATATTTAACAGTTTTCACCTACGCATGCAGGCGACATTTTAGTTAATTGGATTAACGTTTGGAAAAACACAATTTTCTCACTTCAAATCACAAACCAAATGCTTATCCACCCCTGAAAACCTGGAAGCTATAGACAGCTGTTTTGTTCTATCATGGGAATCCCAACAATATGCATTCACAACCCTGCATGCGGGAATCGAAACCAAGACCTTCGGTCTAGCGCGCAAACGCTTAACCTCTTGATTATTAAGCCGGCATCCAATAGTGTTAATGTCGACCGGAACACTACTCGATTTATTCCTGATTCTGATCAACAAAAAAAGATACATGAATAAATAGATGACTAATACAACCGCAACGCATACACAGTTTGAAAAATATAATTATTTCACAATTAAATATTTGGGTATAAAATGTTATGTATAAATTACAATGATTCTATAGTAGAAAACAATACGCCAGCGAATCATGCATCAAACGAAAGCTTATGGTGTATGGAATAAACCGGGACCAAACTAAATGTTAGTACTTTGAATTAAGTGAAATAATGTCCCGAAAAATAGCTTCTGTTGTCTGTCATGGCTTTTTCATTTTTCTTTTCACATCATCTTCCCCCTTGACGAAAAGGAATTCCTAACTGTCATTTGTATGAGGGAAAACTGACTAGTGTTGTGATCCTTACAAAACGTGACCAACCTGGTTATTTCGAATATATAGAAAAAAGAAACAGCGACTAGTCACTAGTTAACAATAAAGGGTAACATATCATCATTGATAAATCTCCTGGGAACGTTGTACGCTCTCCTTTTTGAGTCAATCTGGAAAAAACTTTATTTTATTTATTTGAACATATAGATATTGGTACAAGGCGGCACCAGATACATATACGCCACAAAAATCTCATTTGACTTGTGTGAAAGCTGTGATACTGCCCGGGTGCCCAAAACGAAGCAGGTGGTTTGATCCACAAGGTAGTGGAGCATCGTAAGGAGACGCATACCCATGGTAGCCGGTGACCAACGATTGGTTCATACGCCATCTGTTCCCTCAGGATACTAGAGCCCACATACACCATTGGTTTGGAATCAAGGTTTTCCAACTCTCCTATGTGGACTCTCCTTGTCCACTAACCCGGTTAAGGCACCGAACATTCGCTTTTCGTTTTCTAAATTTCGTAAACAACACCCCGCCGCGGGAAGACAGTGAGTAGGACTTCCCTGGCAGAGGCTATATACTCGTGTCCATGTGAGAGCATTTCGAAAGGGAAAGCGAACTCTCCCCACTCTCGGCCGTACCAGGGCATTTGGGGGCGCTAAGCGCTAGAGCCAAGACAGCACTAATCGACTGGGTCCCCATTAACAGTCGGTTATGTGCTGTTCTGTTAGAAAGTTCCATCAAAATAAGAAGAAATCAGTGTAAGAAACGACGTCTTTTCGTCATCCCTGCCTATGCACTGACAGATTGCAAACGGATGCGATCAAGTATGAGTTATAACACCAACTAACAGTTCTTCTACAGAATTCGCATTCTACAGATATTGTAGTACTAGCCGGTGATCTGAAGGCTCAGTTCGGGCGTCTAGGCACAGAAGATAGTCGTTTAGGTGGCCAATGGGGACTTAATCAGTTGGCGATTAATGTCCGCAGGTAGGGTATGTGCTTCGCATATTCGAAGTGCAAAGTACTTTTACAAGACTGACAGGATCCTGGTTCTGCACTCACCCCGGGTAGTCAGCAGATAGAATTAGTTGAATAAAGCAAGAACAAATATTGGTGCAGAATAGTATGAATTCATATTATTTCGAAATAATATGAATTCATACTATTCTGCACCAATATTTGTTCTTGCTTTATTTAAATTCATAAAGGGAACCAATGGCATGAAGATTAGTTGAGAACTTCGTGTATCTAGGTATCTGCATAAGTGCTGCTGGTGGTGTGGGCGATGAAATCAATTCACGTATAGTGAAAGCCAGAGCGGCTTATGACAATCTGGATCATCTTTGATGCCTTCGTGATATTATTCTGACGACTTCGGCGGCTTGGACATGTTCTACGAATGTCGTCTCAGAGAATTCCACGTCGTGTATTATTTGCCAACTCTGGGACTGGTTGGAAGAAGCGGAGAGATGGTCAGTGTATGACATGGTGTCGTGGTATGAAAGAAAGCTGTATCGGACTGGCTTCTGTTGTTCCTTCATGACTCCCTGGCTGGGGTCCTTGAGATGATGCAACATAGTGTCTAGAGACGTTATCAGATATGGCTCAGAATAGAAGCCAGTGGCGATCCTGCTGTAATCTTCTTTTACTTTCTTCATAAAAAGTGACCGTAACTTCTTTAAATGAGAGAATTCTTTCTGGTCGTACATTTCTGTTTGGCCTATTATTACTATTATTATTATTATTTCACTACGATACGTCATCTGCGGTCGTTATTGTTCTTCTTTTTTCTTTTCACACGCACCTTACATTATTATTGTGTGGCGCACATCTATCTCGTGCCCCCTTGTTCCAATATTTATGTGTTCAAATAAATAAAAAATTCAAATCATGCCGGTTCGTCAGATGACAAACACACCAATGTATGTCCTATCCACTTCCAACGTCTTTTCTCTTCAGCTCGAAGCTAGTTTGTTCCCTCCCACATTAGGTTGTTGCTGATGGGCTCCGGTCAATAGACATTGAGTATCTTGTGTAGTAAATTGTTTAGAAATACATTTTTGATGATGATTGTAGTAGTTTTCCAAGTTTCAGCTCCATGCAGTAGAACTGTCTTAACATTCGTATTGAAGATTACGACTTTAATGTTGGCTTACAGACAGTTGCTTTGAGTTACATATGTTGTTCAACTGTAGGAATGCCATACTTGATTCGCCAATCCTCTCCTCATCTGCATCAGATCCTCCTTTTCCCTCGATGATGCTGATCAGGTAGGTTGAAGTTTCCACCTGTTCCAGAGTTTCTCCATCAAGAGTGATTGGATTGGTGGTCTCCGTGTTACATTTGACGATCTTACTTTCCCCTTGTGTATGTTGAGGCCCACGGATGCAGATGATTCTGCTTCACTGATTGTCTTGACCTATATTTGTTCGTGTATATAGGATAGAAGACTCAGGTCATCTGTCAAGTCCAAATCGTCCAGTTGCATCAAAGCTGTCCATTTTATTCCATGATTCCCCTCAGATATGAAAGCCTTAATGATCCAGTCAACCACTAGAAGAAAGATGAGGGGCATGAGTAAGCTGTCTTATCTGACTCCGGTTCTCACTCACAATGCGTCTGTCAGCTGTCCTCCATGCACAACTTTGCAATGTAGTTCGCCGTCCGTATGGTGTTGATCTTCTCAGCTATTCACCTCAAAGTGTCGAAGAAGGTTCCATAGTGTTATCCTATCCACACTGTCGAACGATTTCTCATAGTCAAGGAGGTTGATGTATAGTGACGAGTTGCATTCAATTGATTGTTCAACAACCATCCGTAGTGTCGCGAATCGGTCTGTGCACGACCGATACTTATGTAATCCGTTCTGTTGATCTCGAAGTTGGGAGTCTACTGAGTCTTTCATCCCAGAAATAAAGTGATCGGATCAAGAAGTACTAGATAACCACAAACGAGTGTACTTTATTTAGAATTCGAAATCAAGCATTCAACAAGTACAAAGGAATCATTAGTTCCTTCAAACACCACAGTTTCATCATCAATTTAAATGCACATTATTACCTAAACAAATATTACCACGCAATTGTTTAACCAATAATAGTTTAATCAGTAGTTAAGTCTAAATTACATTAAAGGGATAATTTGATAGAGGATATGAAAGAACTACCCAATGCAACAAACAAATGTTCATATCAACACAAGAATGCTGTTCTATCCGTTCTGGATAGATCACGTACAGACTGT